ACTCCCAGCCTCCCCTGGAAGCACGACCCAGCCCGAGGAGTGCTGGGGGTTGTAGGCCAGCAATACCGGGAATGTGGTTGTTCTCTAGCCCTTGATTTGGTGTTGGGTGTGAATAATCCACTCCCCCCCCCCCCCCCCCATCTCTTTCTCCTGGAAAATCTGTTTTTCTTATGGAGCTGTTGCATTTTTTAAGCTTTGTAGTCCCAGGATAAGTCTCAGCAGTTGGCAGACCAGGCAGACCTCACTTGGATTTCACCGCTGCAACGTCAGATTGCTTAGCTTGGATGGGAGATTTCCAGGGTCCTCCAGGGTGGAGCTGTGGCCACAAAGTCATCAGGAGCTGAACAAAACTCGAAAAAATTACCTTTAACCAGAGGATATTCTCTTGGGGAAATTATGATCAGCCTTCCTTTGTCTGACGCCTTCCAGATCAACTCTCATAATCCCCAGCCAAAATAGCCTGGGCTGAGCTCTTTCTAACCAGCAGGCCAGACCGATGCAATGTGCCATAGCTGAAAATTGGTTTGTGATTCTCTATTTTAAACTGGCCCCGAGCCTGTCATCAATACCAACTGAGCATACAGATTTCTTAGGTGCAACTCTTATCTAGATATTTAATTTTTCCACCAAAGTAGAAAAGCACCAAAGCAGAGCCAGTAAAAATGTGGGAAAAAATAATCTGAGCTTAAATAGACAAGTTCAGTCTGTTGCAAGGGACGGTTCTATGAGAGTTATTTTCTAGAAACAGTTGCTAAAGTTAGGCATTGTACTTTGACCTCAGCTCCAGTTATCAGATACTGAGCCACAGGCCAATTCCATACAGATATATTCGTAAGGAACTCCCACCAAGTTCCAAGGGGCTTATCCCAGGTAAACAAATATTGGCGTCCAAAGTGAAGACGATATTTTGAATTGAGGTGGGAGGCTTTGGCTGCAGTGCTATAAAAACTTTTGTCTTACTGACACAATAAACTATCCCATAATGTGGTTTGTTTGACTTTAGCTTTTACAGTTTTAATTTTAAAAAATATTGGTACGCTATATCAAACAACAAAGTACACGGATGATTGTACAGTATAAAAAAGCCTACATAGTTATAGTGATTAAAATAAAATAAAAGCAACAACAAGTAGTAGTAAGATCCACATAGTGTCAATTTATGTCCAAATAAGGTTAATTCAAGCCTTAAATTTACTGTTAAATCTACATCATATAGAAACATATTGTTTCATCTTCTTATTTTTAGAATACAAAGACATTTCCAAAATCAATAACAAACATATCTTGAATCCATTCCTAAGCATCAGGAAGATGACTTTCTTCCCCTTTATGTGAGATTATTGTCTTTGCGAGCCCCAGGCTTGATAAAGCCAAGTGACAAATCCCATCATTTAGGAATATAATTTAACATCAGTCGACATCTGTCACTGTTATATTTCTTTCCAAAATGGCAAGGTTAGCTGGAAAAGGTGCTATCCGACGCCGCCTGCGTTTTGATCCTGGTTTTGATCCTCGCAAAATTCAGCTGGATTCCCCCCCCCCCAAAGAAATGTGCCTGGGATTGCCAGCGAGTCAGCAGAATCTGGGCATCTATGAAAACGGTGCTGAAGTGCAACCAGGGTCCAATCGCTGCTCCTCGAGCGGGGTGTTGCGAGGCTCTTCCGTCCTCTTACGGGGGTAACACAACTTAAAACCTTTTTATGCGCGTGCAGAAACTTTGTGGAGGAGTCAGCGGAGCGGGTGCGGGAGGTTTGTTTGTGTTAGAACCTTCAAGGGTCCAAAGTGCCAAAAAGAATCATCAGGGTTCTAATCCCACCCCTCACCACGGAGCCTCCCACCCCTCCGGAATTCCAAAAATTTGCTTTGCACGGCCAGTCGCGCAAGAGAAAAGGCTTCGGAGCGGAGCGGAGCGACGCTAGGAAGCCCGGCTCAGACTTCAGGTGAGCAGCTCGGCTGCCTCTTTTAATTCTCTGGATCCGGAGAGACGTGTGGAGAGCGGGGGTGGGACGGTAAAACGAAGGTCACGAAGTGGCAAAACGCCCACGCCGCCGCTTTACCTGATCTCCTTTTCCTTTCCCTGGAAATGAACCGGAAATACATTTGTTTTCATGAGAGTTTAAGTTTGTTTGTTTGTTTGGGGGAGGTTTCTCTCGTTTCATGGGCTGCCTCCTTTCCCTCTCCCTTCTTCCCCTGGGCCGTTTAAGAGTTGGTCGTGCCTATCCAGCAGTCACACCAAGTTGGCAGAGATGGCAAATCTTCCCAGAGGTAGCGAGTCCTTTAAGTGGAAATGGTAGAATGAAACGCCCATTTCTTTAGGAGGTAAAATTTCTAGGCATCCTTGTTGGCCCATTTGGGGGGGGGGGGGGAATTCCAAAAAGGGCCAAACTAACTTTTTTTTAATTTACTTAATAAATAAAGAATTAAAAAGAAAAATTTCTTATTGTTAATCTTTGT